TCGTAAAAATTATCCTGAATATTGATAATCAATGTTTAAATTGATTTTGACGAACTCAAGCCTCATTACTTGGTTTAATTTTTTTTTCGATAATGGATGGTAATATTTGAGGAATAACAGGGATTGAAAACTATCAAATGTTCAAAACCTAATTCTATCAAGAGGAGTTTTATTAAATCTCCGCTACGGAAAGACTGCGAGTTATCGTGAACAGCATGGAACAAGATTTAAAAAAGGGAAAGAATCTATGTGAGCGGAATTTATAGAAGCGCGGTCCCATTTCTCATTTAATCGCCGCGACAGAATCGAATCGTGACAATTTCGTCGCAATCTTCCCCTCGCCCCTTTCAATAAAAGCTGGTCGTTGAAAGCAATTATTAAGAATTTGATAGTTTTTGAATACTTGTAAGATTTTCCTTTCAAATACTACAATCCGATCTTGCAGAATCATTTTTTATTGAGTCAGACGGTTTCATTAAGAATTGATACTCTGCAGCCGTCTTTTCCACTCAAATTAGGGGCTTGGTTCATTTAAAAATTCTTTCAACGAAAAGCACGGAATAAATCAAGGACTTTGAATTTGAAAAAAAGGCAAAATTTGATCATATCATGAGTGAAGATCGAAACAACTTCAACTTCTTAAAATGTCATCAATCCAAATTTTACAAAACATTTAGCAATGATTGAATTAGATTGTCTCTGCTCCCACGTTTCTGGGTTTTAAGTAATATTTTGCGTTTCCTTGGAATTTTCCACTAATTCAAAACTCAATCAAAATCCGCGTATTTTTTGGAACTATTGGCTTGGGAAAATATAGAAGTAACGGAATTAAAAAAAATAATAAGATTTCTGAAACCCCATTTTTGGAAGCGGATAAAATTCGACATCTCACATCTGTGAGACTATCCAACCACCGTTCCTAAACTCCGCGTTTTTCTATCTCTTCTTGACACAGTCTCCTTTCAAAATGCTCATTTGAACAAGCACTTTACCGTTCAGTCTGTGAAGTTATCAATCCATCATTAGAGGGAATAAAAAAGAATTCTTGGCAGCTCAATTTTAGAAGCTTCTCAAACTTGGTTAATTACGATTTTTTCATAAACGCTCGGACGTTTTTTGTTTATCATCAAAATTTAGCACTTTCACTTTTTTGAGCAGAACTAACCATATTTGCGCAGAAGTGGGAATCATGGACTCTTTCAAAACAAGGGTTAAAGAACTGAAAGTCTGAGCGGGAAAGTGAGAAGAATGTCTTGGTTTTTAGATGAAGCGATCAGCCAGTCAATCAGACCTTCTTAAATGGCTAATCAAGCCCAAGAGGAAGCCCCGCAGGTGCATTCAGGATATCTAAGAATATAAAGATCCGCTATTCTTTTAAAATTTTCAGAAGAACTGAAACATCTTCGATGGAATCAGTACAGACTGTGAACAAAGTCACCAGCGAACCTGACCAACCAACAACTTCCGCAGAAGATCCAGCGTGGCTGAACCCACTTCGGCTGCTGTTCCTTTTGTGCATCCGCTCGACTTCGGAAACGTTCTCGTCATCAGCGTTCAAAATATCAGCGATGAACAACGTCTGAAATTTTTAACCGATCTATACATCACTAGCGGAGCCAGTTTCTGCATGGCCTTCAGAGGTCTGGATGACCAGAAGCGGGTTCTCGATAAAGCATTTGCGGCCAGATCACCTACAGAGACCAGAACCTCGCTGCCTAGCACATAGTCTTCCTGTTTGGGGGCTGTCCTGTAGGTACTGCACGCTGTTTATCGTCGAATCAGACGCTCAACAACATCATTCTAAACACAAAAAATAGCGCTGGTTTACGAACCGTTGAAGAAGTTCAGTAGGAGGTAAGGACGTATACATAACTACACACGTCCAGAAGAGACTGCCACAAATTTAGTACAGCGAGCCGAGCGATTTATATAAGCAATGCTAACTCCAGAGACCGACATCCAGGAAAGACTCCATCAAGGCGAGAGAGGAAGGATAGAAAACCGATATTGGCTGCTAGAATCGATGGCTGAGACGGTTTCGGTTCTTGGCCGACTAGCTTTTCGCGGTCTGCTCGATAGCGGACCAGCCATGATTCCGGAGAGGAGTGTAGCGGAGTTGGCCCCGAACAAGGAAATTTCAGAACTATGCTGGGTACCGCGCCATGTATGACGAGCTCTTGCAGACCATTTCGAGAAAGGAGGAAAAAACGCTCAATCCAGCTTGAAAAAATTCAAAATGAAATCATTGACATATCGGAAAGACTCATTCAAAGAGAAATAGTGGGCTTGGTGCAAAAAGACAATTTTTCTTTCGGTACTTGCGGATGAGAAGAGCGACGCTGGAACAGCTCTCAGTCTCTGTGAGATTCATTTCAAAGGATGAATTGGGCGAGCTTCAATTGAAGGGAAGTTCTTGGCTTTTGTGGAGGCAGCCAACTGTTCAGGTCTTGCGCCAGCTAAGCTTATTCTATCGACCTTGACACAGTGTGGCCTCGATACCAAGTATCTAGTGGGACATACGAGGAGGGATACAATCTTTCGATCCGTCAGCGCTGTCCACATGCTTTGTATGCGCACTGCTGCGCGCACGTGCTCAGCTTGACTTTGGTGAAATCGTCCACCGTAGTACCGATCAGACCCAGACGCATTCGGAGTAATGGCCATAATCAGCGCTTTTTCCCGCTCCTCCCCGAAGAAAACTCACGTGCTCAAGGACGCTATTGAAAGACACGCCCCAGGAAGCCAAAGGAGGGCACTGAAGAAGTTGTGCAAGACGAGATGGGTGGAAAGAGCCGAAGCATGTTTAAATTTCAATCACTTTGTACCAATCGTGGCGGCAATCACGAAGTCGGAGGAAATGAACCTGATCTCATAGCTGCGTTATAAGGTCTTTGCGAAGAGCGCTTTGTGTTTACTCTATATCTGCTATCAGTGACCATGGGAGCTCTAAAACTTTATCGGAGCAACTCAGTCAGCAGCCACCAACACTCTTCCCAAAGTAAGTCCGTGATTCGCTTTCTTGCTCAGGCTTTCTGGGTCATTTTTAGGCTCTAGATCAGCAGAGACTACTAGTACAGCAGCTACGGATGTGGATAGAAAAAGTGTGTCGGTTGTTTCACTCGCGTGCAGCGATATCGCCACATGGTGCAAGACATGAAAGCGACGGAGTCGCAAGACCCGTCACTGAAAGCGGCATGGCAGGGGTAAGCGTGCCAATATTCTTTTATTAACATGATAGCAAAACCGTTACAGAGTGTCTCAGAAAGTCTTAAAAGCAGGACTTGGGTTGTTTCAAAAGTTCTACCCGTTTTCGAACTTTGACTTTGATTCACCGTAACTCTTCTCAGAAATAATCTTTGCAATTGCTATAAATTGTGTTATAAGCTGCAAATCTTTGGCCATTCTGCGCACTCTTTGGGATTATTGGAGTAACAGTGGAGAAGATTTTATAGGCGAAAATCGAGGAACATTTCCTTGTAGAAACCTTCACTTGCAGAAGCATAACTTGATTTGGAATATAGCTGTGTCGCACAAGCACTGCTCACAGAGTGGTCGGTCATGGTCGACCGAGCAGTGCCGCTGACTTTGAATTTCATCAAACTCTTTCATAAAAATTTGTGCTGAAAAATCCGAAAGGATCCACTTATTTTGCTCTTTCTGATGCGGCAAAATGCAATTTTCAACATTTTTGATTTTGTTCGCCGTTGATAAACCAGGAAATCTGTTCGTTCTTCTTAGCAGTTGTTGTAGCTCTAATCTTACCATAGAATTAAAAGTTCCGCGATTGCAATATGTTTATGATTTTTATGCGACTTCAAGGGGCCATAGAGACAGATTACGTTTGAGCTAAAATTTGTAGGTTTGAAATTTTTCTGAAATCATATCTCGATGAGCGTTTCGTAGCACAAATCTGCAGCAAACATGTATGTTTTAAAATAATTTTTTTTCTTTTGGCTGCAGACGGCGATAGGACAAAGTCGAAAATTTTCACATTTGTTCCGCTGTCTTTTGAAGTATGCGACCACATAGCGAACAAAGACCCATGAAAACGAAAATATGCATGAAAAAACTAGAAGAAAAGAGCTTTTGAATGATATAAGCACCGTTTATGAAAAGTGGTTTCTTCTTCCAAAATTGGCAGTTCAAAAAAATATCGAAAACGGGTAGAACTTTTGAAACAACCCAAATACTTTCCTTTCCTGCAGGATTGATCAGGAACTCAATGAGAGACCCTCTCCTCACTTGACTCCATCCAACCGTCTCCTCCTGCCCGACCTTGTAACAGGAGCATCGTTTGAAGATTTGAGAGAAACATTCGATTTTACGCCGCTCTACCACACCAGGACTCAACACTGTTCGAGACTGAGTTTGTGATGTAGAGGTGCAAATGGGTCCAACAGAGCTCCAGAGGCGACCTCATGAAAGTTCTGGACAGCTGCGACGACGAGTTTTTTCTCACTGTTCGCAATTTAATGCAAACTTTGGCAACTGTGCCAGTGTCAACAGGTGCTTTACACTCAAAAAGATCCAGATTTGAACGAATGATTACCACATTTTTTAGCGACGCTAGAGAGAATCTTCTCATTCTTGAAGATTTTAAAGACATATTTGAGAAACTCAGTGACTGTAGATCTCTAGCGGGTCTAGCCCTGCTCTACATCCACAGGAAGGTTGTAGTCGACGTTGAAGAGGTGATGGACGAATTTGTCAAACAGACAGAAGGATATTTTTCACTTAAGTAAGGCTTCATCTAACTACGCAAAATTGCCTATTTACAATCAAAATACAAGCTTTTCCGATTCTAGGGACGAGGATCAAGCAAGATCTTGGCAGGAAGAGTCTTTTGAAATTTTTTTGGACCGCCACTGATTTCATCATATAAAACAATCTTATGCTTCCTTCACTTGTAAGCGAGGACAGTTCATAATAATCCGATGCCCCTCAACGAAAAATGTAGGTTAATTAGTATTTCGATAATGGTGATTGACGAGTTTAAGTTGCAAAAAATTTATTGCATGATTTGGAGACGACTACATAAATACTAATTTTCTAAGATTTAAGGTTATTTGTTCAAACATCAAGGTTTTCTTCTTCGTACTTTTTTTTCAAGAACTCAAAAACGTCTTCTAGTGAACCCTGTAGTAAGGAAAAGTCACTGAGCGAGAGTGAGGTTGCCATTGTTTGTGCTTTTTCGTAGAGTTCCGAAAGCTTGTCCCCTTCTCTTCGTGGAATCTGTAAGAACACAGATATCTCTTAGTATGGTGAAGGTTCGACTTTTCTTGAATCTTGGCATTGTTGTAAGCACTTTTCGGTAAGATTGTTGAGCTTGACCAAGATTGGTATGATAACTTTATTGGCTGACGTCGACGTTTCGGCGATCTACGCCTTCTTCAGAGCCTGGAAAGACGAAGTCATAAGTGTCTATCCGCTCAGACGTCAAGTGCCAGGAACAAAATAAACCCGAAGAGATTAGCCAAAGACATTATCAGAGCCACAAGAATACATACTCACCTTAGACGCAGCACAATCGGTAGCTGGAGAACAGACCACCTTATACAAAACTGTGCCTCCAACCTCTATTCATACGCCTGAGTGACCTGACCTCAGTCAAACCCACAGAGGGCCTGATAAGGCGCGAGTTCGGTGGTGATAGCAAGGCACTCGTCTTTTCTGTTCATTTTAGGATTTTTCGCAGCAATCCAAAATGCTTCTAACGTTTTGCGTGCCAGGAGTTCGGACTCAAACGATAAGATCTTTACTGCAATCTGAATTTCAGCACCTTCATGACGGCTTATTCGATGTTGCCCCAGTTGTGTGGAGGGCCTTGATTTATTTAGCCCATCTAGATGTTCCTTGATGCGAACACAAAGAGGGCGCCCGGTCTCTCCGATGTAGGTGTCTCCACATGATAAACATGTGATCCGGTAAATCACTCCTGACACCATACAATCACCCTCTCTGCTATATGGGCATATTACACAATTTCCCTTTCTCATTATTTCCCTTTTAAGCGAGTGCTTGAGTTGTAACGTTTTTAGATGGTCGGGCCATTACTATAAGCAGGTAAGGGGACTAGCAATGGGGCAACGTTTAGCACCAACACTTGCCATTGCTTTCATGTCTAAGGTAGAGGCGCCAGTGCTAGAGCGCAAGCCGCTGCTGTACTGCCGTTATATAGATGATTGCTGCATAGTTTGCCCTTCTCAGACATGGACATATGTTTCCGCACGCTTAACGAGCAGTTTTCCAGCATTAAGTTCACCAGGGAAAAGCCCCACGAAAACTGGCTTGCGTTTCTTAATGTCCAAATTCATCTAGCGAGTGGGGAGTACAGAACTAGGTGGTACCGCAAACCCAGCTGCAAAAATATATTGGTGCATTATTTGTCTGCACACACTCGCAAAACCAAAAGTTCTAAGTGTTGGTGCTAAACGTTGCCCCATTGCTAGTCCCCTTACCTGCTTATAGTAATGGCCCGACCATCTAAAAACGTTACAACTCAAGCACTCGCTTAAAAGGGAAATAATGAGAAAAAGAAATTGTGTAATATGCCCATATAGCAGAGAGGGTGATTGTATGGTGTCAGGAGTGATTTACCGGATCACATGTTTATCATGTGGAGACACCTACATCGGAGAGACCGGGCGCCCTCTTTGTGTTCGCATCAAGGAACATCTAGATGGGCTAAATAAATCAAGGCCCTCCACACCACTGGGGCAACATCGAATAAGCCGTCATGAAGGTGCTGAAATTCAGATTGCAGTAAAGATCTTATCGTTTGAGCCCGAACTCCTGGCACGCAAAACGTTAGAAGCATTTTGGATTGCTGCGAAAAATCCTAAAATGAACAGAAAAGACGAGTGCCTTGCTATCACCACCGAACTCGCGCCTTATCAGGCCCTCTGTGGGTTTGACTGAGGTCAGGTCACTCAAGCGTATAAATAGAGGTTGGAGGCACAGTTTTGTATAAGGTGGTCTGTTCTCCAGCTACCGATTGTGCTGCGTCTAAGGTGAGTATGTGTTCTTGTGGCTCTGATAATGTCTTTGGCTAATCTCTTCGGGTTTATTTTGTTCCTGGCACTTGACGTCTGAGCGGATAGACACTTATGACTTCGTCTTTCCAGGCTCCAAAGAAGGCGTAGATCGCCGAAACGTCGACGTCAGCCAATAAAGTTATCATACCAATCTTGAACACAGATATCATTTTTTAATAGATAAGTTTTGCACAGCTTGTGCAATAAGCTCTAACTTCTTTCATCTCCAAAATGTCAAAGTTCTAATCGTTTAAATAAAGTAAAGTGAGCTCTTTAGCTCGAAAAGTATTAAGATGTTGAAGCATTCTTTTTCTAGACTTGAAATGTATGGAATCTAAAAATAAGAACTTATTATCAGTCTACTCCAGCATATTGGTGCCCTTCGGTGCAATGATGATTTGTATCATGCCTACAAAAACGTCTTTTCTTTGCTAACGAGCATCTCAAACTCCAACATAGTAGTCGTAGGTTCAAGATGTTGTTGTTGCCTAATTCGGATAAGATCTGGATCAACTCCAAATAGATCGGATCGAGATGCAAGAAGCACGGAGCAGAAGTGCGACAAACGCGAAAGCGATCGCGTTGAGTACCCTTTGGTCCACTGCGAGTGATGACGGGATAGGGCTTTGATCGCTAATCAGCCTTGGGAAGATTATAGATGACGCTCACGAGAGAGGTAAAGGCTTGGTTAGCGATCGAAGCCTCGCCTACCATCCACCACCCCTGTAAAACAAAGGGTAAGTGTTGTATGCGGCAGGATCACAATCGCGTCCTGGGGCTGTAGAAAAAAGCGTGCATCTAACATAATCCGGCTTTCTGTAAAGAAATTTGGAGACTAGCCTGAAGCGCTGGTTTTACTTATACTCTTCTAAACTGCAAAGCTTTGCCTTGAAGCGAGATATGAGCTCAGAGAGCTAAATCCGGACGGTCTGATCCTCAAATATCAAGGCAAGTCAAATCAAAACCCAAAAAAACTTCTTACAACGAATGTTAAGTATCAATCGTTGTTTATTGAATGAAATGTAAGATGTTAAGTCTCAATCGTTAAGTCTCAATCGTTGTTTATTGAGTAAAGTGTAAGACTTATCAGCATATTCGAACACTTAATCTGATCAGTTAGACGCACTATTTTGGATTTTCACATGATCAGAAAGCGAGGCGAGATCGGAGAAGTCAGCATTGCTGACTTAAGAGTCTCAATTATATACCAAGTGATTTCATAGTCTCACAATTCTCTCGAAACAGCTGCTACGAATCCATTGTTACAATCATCCGGTCATAGTATTTCACCAATTCCGAATAACCATCAGAGACGAAGTGCAAGATGACTGACATCCAATGACTCGTAGCAGTTGTTATGTCACAAGGATCGCGAGGCGATGGGTCGCGTTATGTACATTTGCCTTTACCAGTGAAGCTTTTGCACGGTTGCTTGCTTTGATCGAGTTACAACCTCAGGGGAAATCCTCACTTGAACGAACGATTGTCAGTACCGATTCTGATTAGAACCAGGCCCGAGAGGGGATGCAAATCGGATTTTTGGCAACTATGACGCCATTATGACACTGCGAACTGCATTTTGTAAAAGCCAGAAAATTATATCATGTTCCACACTAGCCTTAAATTTGAGGTTCAATGTATCCTCTTGTTTTGTGACCAGCTCGCTTGATGGGAATGTAGACAGAACCACGTCTATTACCTGAACTCCTATTATCAACTACTCATTTCTGATTTAATATGTAAAAATACCTTTTTTCTGTCGTCAAGTGATTTTAAGATTGTGAGAAGGAAGTAGTTGTTGGCATACCTGAAGATTGCGAAACAAAATGGTAGTTCATAATCGACCACAAATACATGAAAAACATCTGTTGCTGACTTTGATTTGAGCGTCTGACTTGCTCCTATCGCTACAAACCTCCCCTTAACGAGTACACCTAAGCACGAACAAAGCGTCTCACATTCCTCCATCGAGTGTGACGAGAGCACTAAGGCTCTGCCCCTTGAACGCATCTGTTTTAGCAGCTCCCAAATATGACGTCGTGTCTAAAATTGACTAATATTAACTGAAAGAGCTCATGATTTTGTTTAAAAAAAGGGAGAACCTTTGGATCAATTCCTGCTGTCGGTTCGTCAAGTATCACAAGTTTCGATGGATTCAGCAACGCGATTCCTATGTTAACTCTTCTCCTTTGCCCACCGCTGAAGTAAAAGTAGCAAGAGCAGAGGCACTCAATTAGACGCTAATTACGAATTAAAAAGACTTAAAAGCTTATGACGAAAAGATTCTAAAACTGCCAAACTTCTCTGCGGAACGCTTCTTGGAAAAGGTTGTGACAAAGAGACAGAAAAAAAATGCAAAACTGCTTGCAGTAGACAATGCAATCCTTTGAGCAGTAAATGGGCGCACTCGCGCTGCACCATTCTGACATGAGCGACTATTGCAGTGCTCCTATACTACGTGAAACATTGCCACAATTGTGATTATTTTAGAAGAGTACTTCGAGGATGAGAATTGCAGTCTTTAGATTAGTGTTTATTACTAAATTCTGTGACATAATCCTCATTTTGAGCGACCACATTTGCCGAAGAGACAATCCTCGTTCACACCTTGCCTCGGCATTACTAATTCTTCTGACTGCTTAAAGCAGCAAAAGATTTGTGACAGAACTTGGAATGTTTTTTGAATCCCGCGTCGATTTCTTACGAAAACTCTACATGAAAGCATATTGATAGTAGAGCTCTATGGGAAATGCAAAATAAGGTCATGGAAATGGGAAATCATTTTGCCGATAGAAGAGCAGTATTCCTTGATTTTTTTGCGTGGTATCATGGATAAAATAGCAGCAAGTACAAGGGGTAGTACCGGTTTTACTCAATACGGGGAAGGATAGCGCATGGCATGAGGCGCCCTCTAAATCAGTGCGCTCAGGAGTTTAGTCTCCGTTCATAAGCAGACCAGACCCCTATTGGATGTTTAATAACAGATAAACAAGGAATGTTGAGCACGGAATTGTCAAGTTCAACGGGTTGGTAACCTCTACAACCATAAACTGATTTGCGTGCTGCGTTAGAAAAGCGGTTGGAAACGTCAGCTTCTTCATCTGCACTTCATCTGTACAAGAATAACACTGTATCAAAATAGCTTTTGGTCATCAAGTCTAGGTTGGGACGTAATTGAGCACATGCTTTTTTGTTTATAAATTTGAGCATGTCGTTGTATGTGTGAGTAACATTTCATAAAAACCCAGTTTTTGGTGGATATTTTATGAACCAATGTTTTTGAACATTTTGTTTCTTCTATGTGGATTAAACCATAGGCAGTTTCATCTATACCACAATGCTCTAAAATAGCAGGAGGCAAAAGTTTCAATCTTCGAAAAACCAACTTTGGATTTAGACTACAGCAAGTTCGCACATTGAAAGTAAAAGGACGGTCATCGGATATTCGTAGACCTATGACTTTTATGTGCGATCATACTACATAAAGCTAAGAAGCAGTAGAAGATCACTACTGATAATGACATTATTTTCGATCTTTCGCGCTGAGATTCGCACCTCGCAAAAATGGTTAGAAATTGAGATGACCAATCCAGACTGGCTGTACGCAATCTGTCTAAATGGTGAACGCATCGCACAAAATTTGCTAATTCGAGCACAATGTCGCCTTTTTAGCTCATTTTAGGCGCTAGCTGCATAGGGTAACCTTATTTGCCAGTGGCGGTCCCAGGATTTCCGTTCGGAGGAGATGGATAAAAAAAATTTCCTGATGAAGGTGCATCAAAATAGCCACGCACTCCAAAAAATCTTCTGTGATGTTTCCCAGAATTTTCGCGAGCCCCGAAAAATTTTTTTCAAGGCTTATATGAGTTTAGAGATTTTTTAAAAAATTTTGATTATCTATAAAAATAAACTCACTTGCACATTTTATAACCCATGTAAGTAACTTTCATACATTTTGCGACCCAGGGGGGTCTGTCTCGGCCCGCCACTGCTAGCTGCATTTTAGTTTATGACCCTGGTTTTCGAGAAATACTGATTTCAGTGTGTAATCCCGAGTGAGAAGAGCTAAATTCGTTAATTCGAAAAATGGCCTGAAAAATTACGGTTCTAAGGTCTTGCACTATACAATTACACGAGTCGGAACGGCGTAGCTCCATTTTTGTACAAGCATAAAAACCCTTCTTTTCTAAATTCTTAGATGGGAAAAAATACAGGAACGGTACATATTAGTGTTTGATGTGGTGTGAACAGGTTGGGAATCCTAGGATCTTTTCTTGAGCAAAGACACAACTTTCCCCTTTTGCCTTCAGTACGACTCAGATTCTGAATGCAAACTTACGGTGAGTCCAAGCTGATGCAAAATTTTGGAAACCTTCTTATAAAGCTTGCTTTGCTTCATCGAATGGTAGCCCTTTGAGATTACAAAGTGCCAAGAATTTACCACCCAATAGCTTTTTATAATGGCGTTCGACTTCTGACCATTCTCCTATTGACGATTTTCCAGCGCAGGTCTTAGTCTTACATGTCAAAATAATACACTTTACTTCAAAGCCATTTTCTCAGTTCAATGCACTTGTATGCCTTCCGTTGATTCTTCATCTTTAATATCATCTTCACCCCACCACCCCACTAGTCGGCTCGGTGGACGAATTCGAATTTGAGCTGGAGCAGGCCGGTAGGCGGAGCGCGGCACCTCAGCCCTCAGTTCAAACCTTCGCCTATTCTTTCTGTTCTTTTTTGCCTTTGATTGGTAACATGTGTATTTTGACAGCGTTCTTAAACAAAATCGACGTTTCGTTATCGTTAAGCGTCGTTTCTGGCTGCTGTGCTCGGTTTTTGTTTGATTGGGCTTTGAGAAACGATAGAGATAGCTATTGCGACGTGCAATTCACCTCTATAGCAGCACTTCTGAAATTTTAATTACAGAGAAAAGATTTACAGCAGTTGTTTCCCAACTGTATCGCCGTTTCTCCAAACTTATTGTATACAGAGTTAATGTTATGATTTGGCAGAACAAAACAACGCTCGATCACAACAAGATGTTATGTTTTGCTAGCAAACATACCTCACAATACCAAGATTAAAAAACAAATAATGAGGACTAGCTGATCTGCCCGGTCCAGCACGGGAATGATCACTGATCGGGAATGAAGATAAGGTATTCGGTGGCATTGTAGAAACTGTGTAAAGAACAAAAACAAAATGTGAACACTTATTAGTCGGTAGCATATCTCTCTTTCTCCAAATCAAGTTCAACACGCAAAACCTAAGCAAGCAGCGCGAGTCAATTGATAGCAGCGCTCATTGTTATTATGAGGATCATTTTTTGTGACACTTTGCCGCTAACCGGCTACTTCATCTTCATTCACTGCTTGCCGTCAATTTTTGTGGAGTCGGCAGTACTTTGCACTCGCGCACTTTCCTGGTCCCAGGGATCAACTATAGCGAGTGTGAGTTGTCGCTTGTCTTGTTTTTGTTTCAAAGAGTAAATAGCTTTATAACTTTTTCTCCACTTTGTGCATGACATAGAATTAACGCTCCCTGTCTTATGAGATAGTCGTTTGACTGTTCACTACAAAATTCAAAGCCTTCACTTTTGTGGACGTTGTTTTGGCGAACAAAGTATGACGAATATTGATGGGCTCACACTGACATCACAGCAGTTCTTTTAAAGGCAGCGCCCAGGCAGATCTGGACTTATGGGGATTTTACGTGGATAAAAATTTTGGGGCTCTAACTAAGGCACTGCCCAAGCGACCGCACAGGTAAATCACTAACGGCAGAGATATGCGCCTTCAAAGTAGACCCCAGGAACTGTTAGCATGGATCCATGGCAGTTTCGCCCGAGGACCCAGCTTTGCGCCATGAATCCATGCGAAGTACGATCCCGGGGTCCAGTTCCGAGGAGAATATCTCAGCCGTTAGAGCACTATCTGAGTTGCCGGTTGGGCAGTGGCTTAGTTAGGGCCCCAAAACTACTATCCACGTGAGATCCCCATGTGTCCAGACTTGCCTGAACGCTGCCTTTAATGCGTTACCAGTGCGTCACCTCCGCTTCGCGGAGGTTCGCACTGGCTCCCTATCCGTATGCCTTTCTCATGTTCGCATGAGCATGGCTTTGAAACTCACCACGCGATGCTGAGCGATGCTCACAAATTAATCGTAAACAACTGTTCATTCATGAAGCATCTCCATGTAAGATCGGTAATTTTTGGGAAAAAAACTTTGTTGCAAGGAAACAAATGCGAATTTGAAAGGATTATTGAGTTCATTTTGGTTTGATAATCGTCATTAGGATAATAGTCACCTTAAGCTACATTTCAGTGCGAAATCTTTTCAGTTTTTTCAAATAAAACCTTGCCAAATCGACTATCTACGCGTTCGTCACTTATTGGCGTTGTTTTCGCAAAAAAACAAACTTTTTGAGCACTTTTTGGGCTAGAATTCATGGCGCGCAGAGTTACTTGACTTTGACTTTATAACTTTGCAAGGAGTCGAAATAGCGGCCCAGTTTTGCGTGCCAAAAGGCGCGTGGACCCGTTTGACGCGCAAATTTTGAGGGACCCGCTTATCGAACCGGTTCGTCCTTGTGCATGGTGAGCCTACACGCTGGGACGGTATGTTGTGCAAAATTGCAGCCCGATAGCTTAGTTGCAGCTTCCTCTATGAATTTCGTGACAGACAGATTTACAGACAGACACACACACAAAAAAACAGACGGCCTTAGCGCGTTATTATAGTAGGATAGCCACTCGCACCATAAAGTCAATGTATTTTGCAAAAGACATGAAAAATGTCTTTTGCAAAATACATTGACTGGGTGAAAGCAGGGTGAAAAGCGTTTGAAACCTACATTTCCAAACGCTTTTCACCCTGCTTTGATGACAGAGGTTTAGAATGAAACATACTGCTCTTGCTACATGATTCGATGAAAATGATATGACAGTGCCGCTTCATTTCTCTACTTAGGTTGCAAATAATCAATAAATCGATAGAAAGACCCACTGAATTGTCGCAAAAAGTAAACTATCTTCTGCGCCTGGCCTCAATTATAGGGAAGCAAATTTCAGCCTCATCGGTTCACAAACAAAAAAGTCTATAAGCCACATACTTACATACTAACAAATTTACAGAGATTGAGTTTTATTTATATATAGATAACAATGAGAGAACATACATAAAATTGAAGTGAAGGTTGA